GAGGGAAGTGGCCCCGCGGCATGAGGCTCCCGGGGGATGGGGCCTCTGAGGGATGGGCCCCCCAGGTTCTGGGGTCCCCCGGCATGGGGCCCCGCCGCCGCCATCCCTTCGCGGCCGAGCGCTCCGCCGGCGGCCCGGCCGAGCGGGACCCGAACCCCACCGCCCTGCTCCCGCTCCCCAGCTCCGCACCAGCCGAGCGCCCGCACGGCCCTTCCTCACACCGCGCCGGGAGAAGGCTCCTCCGGCCGCGGGGCAGCCCGGCCCGGCCCGGCCCGGCTCTCACCTGCCCGGCGCGGCGCGCCAGCTGCACCGCCACCTCCGCGCACTCCTTCCAGGGGTCCCCGCCGCCGCCCGCCGCCCGCCCTTCCTCCTCCTCCTCCTCGCACGGCTTCATCGCGGCGGCCGCGCTGCCCGGAGAGGGGCCGGGGGGCGCGGGGGGCCCGGCTCTCCCCCAGGAGCGCCCGCCGAGGAGGATGCCCTGGGCGCACACACCGCCCGGCGCTGTCACTGCGCGCCCCGGCCGCGCCCCGCCCAGCGCGGCGGGCGGAGAGAGGCGGCAGCCGCGGTCAATGGGGAAGGCGGGCCGGCTGCTGGGAGCTGGCTTTAGGTGAGCCCCGGGGGCGGAGGAGGGCCGGCAGAGGCGGGGGTACCGCGGAGAGCAGCGCTGGGGCCGCGCCGAGAGGGCGGGATGCAGCGGGCAGGGTGCGCAGGGAGGATGCGGAGCGCAGGATGCGGGATGCGGAGCGCAGGATGCGGAGGGCGGGATGCGCCGCCATCGCCGTGGCCGTGCCCCGGCCGCCCCTCCTGACATGGCGGAGGTACCGCCAGGCTGGGGCTGGGGCGCTCCTGTTTTCCCCGGGAGAAGGAGGAGCGGCCGCGCTCCCAGGCCGAGCCGCCCCTCGGGGCTCCGCTGTCCCCGTGTGCCCAGAGCCATCTCGCGGAACGAGGGCCCGGCTGTCGGCGTTACCGGGACTTTGGGGGAAAAGCTGGCGGCTGGCATTGGCCATCTCGGGAATGAAAGGGGAAAAGTGTGGGAAAAGCGGCCTCGGGAGTTCAGCTTGTTAGTGATTGGGAGTTCCAGTGTGTGGTAAGAAATACATGACCCTTTCTATTTTTCCCTTGTCTTCGTGTGTCATTTTGGATTTGTCAAGGATGAGAAGAAGAGAATTGAGAACCCGCTGTTCCAGAACCCGTATAAGCCAAATTGCCATGCCGGCAGAACAGGGAACAGAGCTGAGCGATTCTGGATCCGCCTCTCCGAAGGAGGGGAGCCCAGGATGAATTCGTGCTTATGCAATAGAGCAGCCAGACTGTTGTGCTTAAAACACCGAGTGAGTGTTGGGAACACACACTTTATCTGTCAGAGTGAGGCTTTTCCAAATGACTTGTTCTGATGCACATTGGCATTGAATGGGAAAAAAGAGAGCCCAGGGACTGAATCCATCAGCGTCGCTTTTTGAAAGAGGCATTAGGTACACAGAGTGCATGAAATTTGTTATTGTCTTTCAGCACCTGCTTTGTGGTTGAGAGTTTCATTTTCAGGGCTAGAATAGAGATGATTTAGTAACGAATTTACATGAAGAAAATTGCCTAACACCAACATTTCCTATCTCTGAGCACAAAATTAATTAATTTCCTAGAGACTAGGCTAAATTAAATTGATATGGGTAGTCTACTTAATGTAACAGATCCTAAATCTAGACCTGCTTTCTTTTGTTTTTTATCTTGTAGGACAAAGATGATTTTGGGATGAGAGGGACACGCTTGCCTAGGCAGTTCACAAAAATAATAGACACTTTCTAAAATTAAACACTCAGACCTTTTCCTTCTAAAGCAAGGGAGTGAACTTTGTAGATTGTACCACAAGAATTCAACTTAATTCTTTAAATTTCTAAGCTGCACCCTGGCAGTGGATGCCACAAAGACAGTAAGGCTGTCAGTTTACTTAATGAAATATTTTGTAGTCCCCATTTTGAATCAGGAAAAAAAAAATGGTAACAAACTATGAGAAGGTGAATTAACTACTACACAAAGTGTGTAAATTTGGTTGAAGCATGAAATGATGAAATTTTGTTGAATAAATCTTCACCAAATGTTTGTCAATCTTTCTGCTGACTGATAGTTCTAAGTCACTTGTTTCCTCCAAATGCATATTTGCATCGTTCCTATGTTTGATTAATTTCCTTAAGTGCAAAACCCCTACAAACATGCAGTATAATTTGGACTAGTATAGCATAGAATTGGTCTGGATTCTTCCTTAATCTGAGTTTCTTCTAGGTTCTGGAAATTTGTGCTTTTTATTGCTGCCATAGCATGAGGTGTCTTCAGGACCTTCCCTAGAGAGTTTCTGTGCAGGGCCAGATGGATAAATATATTTTCTGGTGAGATTTGCGGACTGCTGAGATGTAGTATAGACAGCTTTAACGTCGGTGAAAAAGAAGATGTAGAGGTAATCATGGTTTTGCATTCCAGGAAGCATCTCAGACCATGATAGAAGTGCTTTCTGTGTTTTTCCTTGAACTACAAAGTTTTAGGTACAGAATTTACCAACAACAAAAGTCTATACCTATTGCTGAAACAGGCTAGATCCTAATCTGATGTAGTGCAAGTGGTTTCTTCCTGTATGCCTGGGGTCTGCCTAAATGCCTGGAGGTTTGTTTTTATTAGACTATCACAGGGGCATTTGGAAGACTGTTTAAGGCATGTTTTAAAAGCAGTCAGTGTGAATTACAATGCAGTAGGCAGGATACACAAGTATCCCCACTGAAGGTATCTACAGAAAGTTACACACAACTTCACAGAGAAGTACTGTTGCAAAGAGGGGGAAGTGCTCTCCTCAATATTTTTCTTCGCCGGGAGTATGTCCTCTTTCTAAGTGATGTCTGGAAAATAAGCATTTCAACAGCAGAATTTCCCCAGCCTTCTTTTCATTCTGGTGGTAGAATAGTGATAATAGGATCACGGGAAGCTGAACTTGCGAGGCTAAAATATCTGAATGAGCCCTCGTTTTTTACAGATTTACTGCAGCTATGTGGCTTGTGCAGGTAGATTTAAAACAGGACTAGAAGGCCAGTAAAGAATACTTAGAAAAGCAGTAACTGCAGCTAGTATTTTAAGACTTTCCAAAATACTTTGCAAGAAAATACAGCTGTAAGGCCTTTAAATGGTAATATTTCTCTTTATCATTCTCCTAGTACATGATTTTTTCAAACCTTCCTTAGCCTAGGCCTGCCCAGGCAGTGTGAGCTTCCTGATGTGAGCTGCTGGCTGACTTTGACTGTCCATTCACCTGCGAGCTGGTTGAGGCTGCTCTCTGCCTTGCTGGATCAGACTCTTGGCTCATCTTTCATAACTGCCAAGGTCTTTCATAACCTCTGATCTTTCATAACCCCAAACGCTAGCCAGTTCCTCTCGCATGCCTTTCGTAACCTACACACACGCCGCGTGTTTAATCCACTTGGAATAGGCCCATCCTGATGAACCTGAAATACAAGTGTTTCTTGGGTGCTTTGTCTGCCTCAATCCTCCTGAGCCCCAGGCAGACTTGTGTGGATGTCAGACTTCCTCTCCGAGACAATGAACGCTCAGTGGAGGGGAAAACCTCCTCTTTGACCTCAGAGGAGAAAAGGGAGCCTAGTCACGGATTTCCTTCTCTCCCGGGGTGTGAAGCCCTAATTGACTTAGGTGTGGCTCAGCTGGGGGTGGCGGTCTCCTTCCCTTCCTGTCCCAGGGAGCCGCGCAGGGTCCCCAGCGCGGTCTGCTCGGAGCAAAACCAGGGTCACTCGGTGGGGCAGCTGCCGCAGCTGGGATTGGTTTAATTCTGCCTCAGCAGACAGCTTGCCATTCTCTACTCCGACAGTAATTGCAGGCTGCAGTGATGTAATAAGGTTGTAGTTTTGCAGAGAGAGGATGACCTCGCTGTGGCTACCCGGCCGTCGGCATGGAATCCTCAGATGCTCTCCAGCGCGGATCTTCGTCACTTCACGGACTTGCTGGATCTTTGTCACTTCATGGGTTTGATGGATGATCTCCTAACAGGGAATAAAATGGGAGGACAAGTGTATAACAGCTTTAATAAAAACAGAGGGGTGAAAAAAAAAAAAAAAGAAAAAGGAAGAAATCTTTTGCAATTATTAGCCTGAGTGTGAAAGAGCATTTCCTCAGTGTGACAGCCAGAGGCTTGCTGCACTGTTATTAAAGTGCACTTCAGTGGGAATCCATGCAGATGGCTTTTTTACCCAGCATAGGATTATATTGGATTAGTCATATAAAATTGTTGTTTACCATCTCTAGTCCTTTTCCCCAGAGCTTTTATCAGGAATCTCACAAAGCATGTAGTTTGAGTCTGCCTTTACGCAGTAACCCAGATGAGCAGCTTTTTGTTTGTGCAAACTGCTACAATGTTGTAGTTTAATGTAATCCTAATGTTGCAATGGGAGATTTTATACCTGATAAAGGAGGCTGTTTGGCCCATATTTTCCTTTTGGCTACAAGAAAGGAAGTTAGATCTTAAGGAGATGCTCTTTCTTCTTGCTGGGCTCTCCAGAAGAGCTGTGCTGATCCCACTTGTGCTCCATCAGAGACAATCAGGGATTCCTAACACTGGCACTGTTTTTCATAATGCTCACTAATGAGTTAATGCTTGATTAATGCACTGTTCTGAGTGATGTATGAGATATTTCCTGTGTTCCCTTTCTATCATGCAGAGCCATACTCTGACCATCTTTCTTCTCTATGTCCAGAAGGCTTAGGGATCACTGCGTGAAAAACACCAATCACTTTTTTTTTTTTAATCTTAAAAGTTTATTAGTAATAAAATAGTTATAAAAAGTGGCAATAAAATTAGAGTAATAAAAATTTTGACAATGAGGATTAGGACACTATGAGACAATAAAAAGCAAAGAATTATGGATGTTTTTGGGCATTAAGCTGCCAAAAACATGCCTTGCGTACAAAGGAATAACCCTTAAAAGCAATAGCCTGTTGCATATTCGTATATCTCATACATGATGCATAATTTCCTTGCAAATTAAGAATTTTTCTGGGTTTTATCAACTTCTTCCCCTTAATCCTGGTGGTTCCATAAAGATGGAGAGAAGGTGGAAGAATGTTTGTCTTTTCTGACAAGGAGGCTGTAACTCTTCAGGTTTTGTGTCGCCGTTACCTCTGTGTGAAGAGTTTCTTGATTATCTTATCCTTTTCTTGAGCTAGTAAAAAATATCTTACATCACAAAGTTTCTATTTTAACATTATGTTGTAACCTAAAATTATATTTAACATACTACTTAAAACGGATTAATACAGTATTACAAAATAACCCTCCATAATAAATATAGTATTCAATTCAATATTTGCGAAGACCCAATCATAAAATACACGTCTTTCACAACTGCTTAGACACAGTCCACATTTTCCCTCCTGCCATAAACTAAGAAACTGCCTTAAACATACAGTGCAAGGCTCTCCTTTTAGATCTGCCCTGGGGGTAGGTTATAACAAGGACTTCTTTTTTTTCAAGGTCTGACAGATAGCTCTACTGGTAAAATTACATCCTTCAGTGTTTTCTGGAGTTTTCAGACTGGCTCTGTCATCCTGGGAAATTTTCCCTTCCAGGTGGTATGGCTGCAAGAACTTTCCTGAGGTGTGAGTGCCTTTGATTCTACAGTGAGAGACGTTTTTCTTCTCTATAGGGGGTCCTGTGACAAGGTGATACAGTCCCAAACAAGGGACTGTATCACTGTATCACCAAGGTGATACAGTTACTCTTTTCCCTAGACAGGAAATGTGGGTGTAAAATCGTATTTCTCCCTGGCCTCGGAGGGAGAAGCAACAGACTGCCACATGCATGCCGGTATTGTTTTTTGATCCACTGAAAACAATCTAGTATTATAACATGATGTATCTGTCACTGAAGGGGATACAGAACTTCTGTCAGTGTGCTGTGATAGGGATGACTGCACCGTAATTCAGTTTAATAAATATTGCCTCTGGTTTTGTCAGCTTTAAGATTAAATTGACTTTCTTATATATTACGAGAAAGTATTTTTTGTCTCCAGTTCTACAAATGGTCACCTTTAATCCAGTCATGTCTTGGTGCTTTTTCTCTTGATATGCAGGAAATGTTCATGAACTGAACTCTATAAACTTTTGCTTTTAGCCAAAGTGGTCGTTCTGAGGCTTGGGAAAGCCAGACTGTTTCTCCCTGTTTCAGGGAAGGTTCCTGAACACAAATGGGATTGTTACTCTGTGACCAAAGATCTAAACAAGATGGAGAAAAGGCCTTTTTTGTTCAAGGGCAATTTTGTTCAAGGTTGTTCCATGATTTTTAAACTGGCATTTGTCTGTGAGACTGGCAGCCTCGACTGTGCCACAGAACATACCATGCAGAAAAATCATGTCAAGTTTTGCCATCTTCCAGCCTGAAAGAGACTCAGGAAGAAGTCACTGCTGATGCAGCGGGCGGGTGGAACAAAAGAGATTCGTCTGGGGCAGGTGAATTTTGTACATGACTTACAAAGGCATGTAGATTTTCATACAAAAATTTTAATTCCTGGAAAATCAGATGAGGGGTTGAAAGGACCCTCTCTCTGGGGGTTGAAAGGACACCTATTGACCTTTAATCCATGTAGAAAAGAGCTACACTTGGGAGTTGTTGTAGGGTTGCATCATATTGTAGGGTTGTATAACTCCATGCTTATATATCTTCTGACAAATCAATAATTTTTGTGCACATGGAGGTGAAAAAGAGTGAAATGGGTCACATTCTTGCTCTTTGGCAGCAAGTAGGAGGCTCAGCACCACTGTAATCAATGACATTTTCATTTGTGTGAGCCAGCATGAAATGTGTGTTTGTTCATACCAAACTACATTAAAGCAAAAATGCAAGGAAAAAATATTGTGTTCAACAAACGAGGTAAATAATAGTGCAAGGAAATGTTTCTGCTATCATTATTTACAGTGGAAAGTATGTTAGTAGCTGTCGGAATCTGTGGGTATTGATGATTCTGAGATTGTAGAAAGTCTCTGTCTTTCTGCCCCATTGCCAAAGAAGAAGCCATAATTCATCTGTGCTGTTTTCAAGGTTGTTTATTTTTGCTTATCTATAACATGTTCTGCTGCCCTGCCACAGGTCTGTCCTGCAGGGCAGCGTGCGGGGCTCTGCCCCCAGTGGGATGTTACAAACATTATATACCAGAAACTACCTGTGCTATATTTACAATAATGTGCCAATATCTATCATCTACGTTGAACAGCGTGTCCCCAGCCTAAACCAATAGAAAAATGCCAACACTACAGTGAAACATGGAGGGCCTGAAGAAGGAGAAAAAGGACAAGACAGACCCAATTTCCTCCATCTTGTCCCCTTTGGACCCCTAATCTAGAATCCTAAAATTTTACTTTTGCACCTGTACCACACTTAAAAATTACTCATATCAAACACTCAGAGCTTGTAATTCATACTGTAAGATTGAAAACTCTTTTCCATGGACAGAGATCAGAGACAGTGTCTCTTGGGGCTCTGTACAGGGGGGTTCCTGACCCCCTGCTGGGGTCCCAGGCCCTCCAGGGCAGCCAGAGGGAAGCCCTGGATTCCCACAAGTAGCATTTCATACATTCACTGCCACTGAGAAGTTTTTTAAAAGTAATGTATTGTTAGGATCTTCGGAAAATTAACATGTTTCCTAATCCAGTACACATTAGTCTTTTATCATTTGTATAAACAATGGGATATTTTGTATGCATATAGTCTAACATTAGCTTTTTGATTTTTCAAAATCTGATGTCTAATGCTACGCACCAGCCTTGGGCCAATTTTAAAAATTGATGGAGTATCTTTAATTTGGAAGAATGGATGCTCACTTGGAAGTGGAGCCTCTCAAAAATCAATGGCAATTTTGAAGATGTTTGATTATAATGTGCATGATTAAACCAACAAGAGCTTCAGCTGTAGCTTTTCCCAAGAGTTTCAAGCTACAAGTAGGAGGTTTTTAGTGCAATTGTGATGGATCAATGCTTGTTTGACAAAATCTGTATCTTACACATACTCCTTACAGGTCTAACTGCATAGTTGAGAAACCTGGCTGTTGTCTGCTTCCTCCATCTGTCTTCAATTCCCCTGCCAGGCATGGAAAATTGGAAGGGGGGTTGCATGGCTTGCTTTCTAGGTCAGTAATCAGGAATTCTTGTTTCCCTTTTAGCTCTGTTGGTCTATTTCCCAAATGTTAGTGTTCTGCTGGTAACAGTTTTTGTGTTTTGAAAACACTTGTTCTTAAAAGCTGTGCACAGCTGCATTGTCAACTCCTGGGTAAGCAGGAGAGCCCAGAACTGGTTGTTGTGTTGCTAGAAGAGCTGGGGAAACTGGGTCAGCAGGTTGCACACATGAGAATCACAGAATGGATCATGTTGGAAGGGATCATAGTGGGTCATCTGTCCAACCTTACTGCTCAGCTGGGGTCATCCCAGAGCACGTTGCACAGGACTGTGTAGATGGTTTGTGGTTATCTCACAACCACTCTGAGCAATCTGTTCCAGTCCACAGTCACCCACACAATAAAGTTCTTCCTCATATCCAAGTGGAACTTCTTATGCATCAGTTTCTGCCACAGCCTCTTGTTCTATTGCTTGGCACCACTGAGAACATCCCAGACACCCCTGCTTTAAATATTCATTCATACACGTCAATGGGGTCCTCTCTCGGTCATCTCTCCTTGAAGCTGAACAGGCCCAGCTCCCTCAGCCTTTCAAGTGACCCAAGATTCATCATGAGCTTGTTTTCTTTGCTATTTCTAACCTAAGTTGTTCTCTGGGTGCTGCCTAGTGCTGCCTTTGCCAAGACTGCTCTGGTTTCTGCAGAAGCCCTGAATTAATCCGCCTGGGCTTTTTGTTTTATTTCTACATCCACAGTATTTGAAAAACCCTGAACAACCCCAAACCAAAAGCAAACACTTGGGTACCATAGGAATGTTAAGTCCTATTGAGCCTTGCACATACTTTGTACAGTATTATTCCTTGATATTCAAGTGGTTTTGTTTTTATGGTATAAAGTGATTATTACTAGTGATATTCCCAGTATTGAGGAAACAACTGTTATCCTACTTGTATTGCCTACAGTGAGATACTGGTACGCAGGATATGATGGACTCCACTGTGCTGATCTCGCTCCATTGCACTCTTACACTTCAGCTTCTCTTTGGCATTGAAAAATTATTTCTGAAGTAATTTTACAAAGTTTTGCAAAAATTCAGAATCTCTACTATATCAGAGTGTGTTTTCTTCTAAATCAGTAACACAGATTCCTTGAAATGGTGGCCTGGAAGGGACTCTTTGTCTACTTGCTCTATGTCACTGTGCTGTGCATATTAGGTATACCTGTATTCAAAGGTATGCCTGATCATTCTCTGATGCGTTTTTTAAAATGTATAGTGAGGAAGAACTACATTATTTTTTCTCTTTGATATCAAGAAATTTTCCCTCTCATCCAACTGAAGGGATGAGAGATGTCTACTCTGTTAGTAACTTTATTTGTGCTCATTCTTCTCTGGAAGACACAGGAAACAATTACTATTGTCTTTTACAATAACAAAAGTCAATTAAAATGATTCTGATTTCAACAACTCCTGATATACTGTATTTTCTTCTGTATGTAATATTTATTTCTGTTTTACAGTCCTTTCACCTGAGATGTTGTTTGTGTTGGATAAACCAGAATAAAACTGAGTACCTGCATCTCGGGGTTATTGCTACTTCATCTGAAAATGGGATTTCTCTTTCCCTACAGCACCATTGCATTGCTGGCTGCTACTATCCCACCCAAGTTTATTTTTTCCTTGCTGCTACTGTAGCTAGTTACATACAGCTGTCCTTTTACCAAGAAGTGACCTTGTGGTTTCCACAGCATGAACTGTCCATTGCTAATTTGTTCCATGTTAATTGCTGATTGAAGTAGCAATTTTGATGCCAGGCAGTTTGGAGTTACGGTGAATTGTCACAGAATCCAGCAGTTAGCAGTCTTAGGTGGGTGCTTCTGGAGCCAATGCAGAAGTCTTCACAGGCAGGATTCCTGGCAGCAGGTTACACCATGGGCAAGTCCTTCCCTCACATGGACTTTCAGGTTGCTGACAGCCTCAGAGATGGGATCTTGTGAACATTCTGCTCGGCACAGCGAAGCCTGAGCTGAATATAGACAAAGCTTTCACCTTTCACTGTGACCCTGTGTGAACTTCAAGAAGTTGACTGGATGGGTGACTGGGTTGAGAGTGGAGGAGGAGAGATGCCAAGTTGTGCCTTGGAGCCAGAGGTGTGTGACACTTCCCTTAATCTGATTACAGTTCCAGTTCCTGCTTGCTGCCCAACCTGACCTGTCTCCTGCCATGTTTTCTTTGAACTGTCAGCTCAAAGCAGGCAGTGATGAGCTCCTGTCTGTCCACACCCTCTTCCCAGGCACAGCAGGCTGAGAACACTGGGGCTCTTCAGACCTCACAGCAACCTGCCAGTATCCAGGGGGCCTGTGGGGAAGCCAGAGAGGGACTCTGTCAGGAATGGTAGTGATAGGACAAGGAGTAATGAATCCAAATTGAAAGGGGAAATTTAGGCTGGATATTAGGAAGAAGTTCTTTACTGTGAGGGTGGTGAGGCACTGGAACAGGTTATCCAGAGAGGTTGTGGATGCCCCAGCCCTGGCTGGTGTTCAAGGTCAGGTTGAATAGGGCTCTGATCAACCTGTATGCCTGCACAGGGTAGCTGGTTTGGGACTAGATAATCTTCAAAGACCCCTTTCAACCCTTAGCATTCTATGATTTTGTGATTGGTTCTATGCAAAATTTGCCAGGTACTGCAATCAGGTAGGCGACATGGTCAAGATGGAGGGGCAGGTAGCATCTGGCAACATTTCATAAGACAAAAAGAAAAAAAAGAAGAGAAGAAGGAAATGTGATGTGCTTTAAGAAATTATTGAGACAAGATTTTGTACAAAGACAGGAGATGCAGAAAACAAGAGAAGACCTAGTGAATGAGAGAGGAATAGGAAAGGTTTTAAAATGCCACTAACAAAGGCTTGGAAGACTAGCAGGCAATAATCACTGCTTTGGGTCTGTCTGTCAGTCTTGCTGTGATAGCTGCTCTTCCTGTGGCTGGTGAGTGCCTGCTGTTGGTATGGTGTCTGTAAGGTCCAGTCTTGAGGGTGGAATACTTTTGTCCTGCCTGTGTGCCCTGCAGCCTAGTCTGCCAAGAATACCAGAAAAATAAAAAATCTAAATCACAGAATCAGAGACTGAGTTAGGTTGGAAGGGATCACAGTGGGTCATCTGTTCCAACCTCCTTGCTCAAGTGGGGCCATACCAGAGCACACAGAACAGGATTGTGTCCAGATGGTTCTCAAATATCTCCTGTGAAGGAGACTCCACATCTCTCTGGAGTGTGGAGAGAGAGAGATGTGGTCACCCCACAGTAAAGAAGTTCTTCCTCATACCCTAGTGGAACTTTCTGCAGGTCAGTTTGTGCCCATTGCCTCTTGTCCTATTGCTTGGTACCACCGAGGTGAGCCTGGCTCCATCCTCTTGGGCACCTTCCCTTTAGATATTAATACACAAAGGGCAACGCCCGGCAAGCAGCAGCAAGAGCAAGCACCACCAGCACCGAGGACACATTACCCGGCACGCTGCTGTCTCCTGCCAGGGGATGTCACTGGGACAGCCTTTACCTGTGGTGATGGGGGGAGATGCAGAACTTGCTTTGGCAGCGATCCCTCACTTGGCGTGTGTTGGTGTATCCGTGTATGTGCGGCCAGCAGAGTTCTCAATCCCCCCCGGTCGGTGCCTGTGACAGAAAGCCACAGAATGTGCTGAGATGGAAGGGACCCAGCAGCATCATCGAGTGCAGCACCTGGCCCTGCGCAGGCCACCCTGAGGATCACACACACAAGTGAAACTGCCAATAGCACTCGTGACAACTGAACAGGGACTGGCTGGGACTGAAAGGGACTGACAGGGGTGTCTCCTCGCTGGGACTGAAAGGGACTGACGGGGGTGTCTCCTCGCTGGGACTGAAAGGGACTGACGGGGGTGTCTCCTCGCCGCCCGCGGGGGCTCCCAGCCGGTGCCGGTGCCGGAGCGCGCCCCGGGCTTGGGAGCAGCTCCGCTCCCGGGCCGCACACGCCGGGCGCTCGGCTCTGACGTCCCTGCTCACCGCCCATCCCGGGGCTCGTCCCGGCCTATCCCGGGCTCGTCCCGGCCCATCCCGGGGCTCGTCCCGCCCATCCCGGGGCTCGTCCCACCCATCCCGGCCTACCCCAGCGGCCTATCCCGGCCTATCCTGGGGCCCGTCACGGCCTATCCTGGGCTCCTCCCGGCCTGTCCCGGGGTCCGTCCCTGCCCATCCTGCCCGCTGCCCGGCGCTCGCCATGGCCCTGCCCGACGTCCACAGGTGCCTCCAAGTGAGTGCGGCCCCTGCTCCCGGGCGCCCCGGCCCAGGAATGCCCGGCAGGGCGCGGGGGGCCCGGCTGGGCCGGGTTTGCCTTCGGCGCCGAGCTCAGGCTGAGAGCGCAGCGCGGGGCTCGGGGCTGGCCCAGGGCATCGCCTCCACTCAGTACCCTGTAGGATAAAGCAATATACTTACATATATATGTGTGTATATGTATATATATATATATATGTGTATATATATATATATATATATATATATATATATACACACGTCAAATAGTTTTATATATGTTCATACATATAAACACACATGCACATACATATCCTAGATATATGCATACACTATAGTTATATATGTTATATATATATGTAACTATAAATACATAGTTACATGTATTATATATATGCATATATATAAAATATAGCTTATATATAAAATATAGCTTATATATAGCTTATATATATAGCTTTATATCTTATATAATATATACACATTAATTAATATATTAATTAATATATATAGTTATATATTATTTACATAATATATATTATTAATATATTAATAATGTGTATATTAATATATATACACATTAATTAACATATATACATATAGTTATATATACAAAATTATTCTAGTTATATATTGCCTCATATTACCATTATATATATATATATATATATATATATATATATATTATATATATATGACTTCATACTATTGGGCAAGGTCCAGCAGACATGCGTGCAAGAAGTTCAGCCAGTGCGGCTGTCTTTTTGTCTCTGGTGAGGTTAAGTAAAAAATAAACACCATCTTAGTTGCAGAGCTGATGTTGGTAGTTTAGGACTATAACTTGGGTGCTTTGTCCCTCTGTGATTAATTTTAAATGCAAAACCAGTTCCCTACGTTCCTTAGTGAATTATGAAGTTATATTATATGTTTAATAGATACCTGTTAAAGGACCTTTGTTGTAGTCAAATGTTCTTAAAATTTTGAACCCAGTTGTTTTTCCTGCCATTTTTCCTTTTAGATGCTTCTATGGTTTAGGAAGACTAGTAAAGTTTTTGGGGGGGAGTTTTAATTTGAAGTGTTATCAACTTAATTAACATTTGATTTGAAAATTTTCCTTGATTTTTTGTTTTTGAATTCTCTTCCTTTTCAGCTCACTGAGGAAAATGAGCAGTTAGTCAAGAAGGTGAAAAAACTACACATAAAAAATAAGGAGCTAGAAAGGAATCTGGGTCAGATCCAAGAACAACTGCATCAGCAGCAGTTAATGCATGTCTGTGGCACAAGCAGAGAGTAAGGATTGTCAAACATTTCTCTTTTGCATCACAAGAAGTGCAGCATTTCAGGACATTTATTTGCAAGTCCTTAAGATGAGCTAGGCTATATCTGGTATCTGTATTTTGAGGAGCCATCTGTGAAGAAGGTGTTGGGGTGAAAAATGCTGGGGGCCTTTAGAGAAACGAAGGAGCTGGGGCACCTTGTACAAAATTTATTGTAGTGAAAGAAACTGTTTAAATATCAAAAAGTAATACTTCTGCTTAGCCAGTACACTCTCTCTTGGAAACAAAAGAAAAAGATAGGTAAGATAAAGATAAGTTGAGTAACATAAATGCTGTTTAAAAGATTTAGAACCTAAGGACCTGAAAAACTGTAGTGCTTCTGGTTTGGAGAGTGTCCTGCCAGGATCTATACACCAGTTCACAAAAATCTTCCAAGGCTTAAGTTTTGGTGCATTTATGATCCTGCCTGGAAACCTCTACCATAAAATCAATCTAAAAAGTAACTTGGCCTTTTTCAGTTGCTTTGTTTAATTAAGTTAAATTGGTGAAGTATGCTTTTATGAAGCTGTTGTGTTTGTTTCAATTAAGTGCTCAGGTTCAAACAGAAACACATTTATGGCATAAGGGTGGCGGCAGCAAGGATCTGGTTCTAGAGAGTGACAGTGTCAGGTGAGTGAGTTCTTGGAAGCTGCTTCTTCACAGAATTATTCTTCTCTGTAGTGTAGAAAATGTTCATGGTTAAGTCAGTTGATTTTTTTAAGCTGTTATGCAAGTGGCTTTCAGCCTTTGAAACAATGGGAAATCATTCACATTTTAAAAATAACTACAAAATCTTGGATTAAACTTGAAAAGAGCACCAAGCAAAGAGCAAAATGTATTTCTTTCTTAGGTAGTACATTGAGAGGATTTAAATGAGCTGGGAACCTCCTTCATGTGTTTGTGTGCACACATATGATCTTTTTTGTAGATTATTTTAACCTAGAGCCTTTGTGGTATCGCTTCTATTTTGTGGAACCTTTCTCAGCTCATTTTATATTGCTCACTGTTTTGTGCATATAAAATTTATAGTCTGGTTTTGAGATGAGCTAGAGAAGCAGTTCTGCTTTTCAGTCTAATAACTTTAGAGTTGAGCCACTACTTACTGTAGTTTGCCAATAAGTGATGGAATTAAACTCTTGTAACTGCTTTTCTGATGCAAAAGGTACAATTTTGTCTTTAAGAAAAAGTATACTGCAACATTTTAACAACTAGGCAAGCTACGTAAAATATTGCTCCATCCCTCTATGACTTGATCATAAAATTCTAGGCTGCTCACCCCTTCAAAGGCTGCTTTTTGTCCACTTACATAAATGTGGATCTTACACAGATCTCAGTTGCTCTTTGGCCAAGTGCCCTGTTTTTAGTGTTTTTAGGTGGCTGTAGAAGACCCTTTTTCTCTCTCTTTTTTTTTTTTTTTTTTTTTAATATATTTACAGTGTGCTGGACTCTCTTTGCAAGCTGGGTAGCTACCTAGGAAGGCTGGGTGACTGGCTCTGGGCTCAAACTGAGTTCCTAGTTAGGTGCTCATGTAGAAGAAGTTCAAGTTAGTCTGTGAATTGAGTGCTGTACCTGCCTGTGTTATTTCGCATGTAGATAACTCGACCTAGCTTTTTTTCCAGCATCTGTTTGTGTGTTCTTTCACAAAGCTGTGCTGTGCTACAGTATTGCTCATCCTGCTTGTGCTGTGCCGTCATGACTTACTGTGAATGGCAGCTCTTACTGTAATTCCTAAAAAAAAAATAGGAAAAATGTCTGCTCATGTCCATTGGCTAAATTGTGGGCCTTGTGTATGTTGGCTGAATGCTATGAAATGTGGTAAGAAAGTAGTACAGCAGAACTCTATGCAAAATAATATCTGAGGGAAAGGTAACAGCCCTAATCTGTTTATTTGACATTTATTTTACCCACTCATTTTTACATAGATTTCATTAACTCATATCCTCACACCCACACACTTGGAAGCAATGAGATGTTTTGTGCAACACAGAGAGCTGGGAACTGCCTCATGTGTCCTCATCATGGGTTCTTGATTGGTGCTGGACAAACGTTTAAAAATCCTTTAGGAGTGTCCTTTTGCTATTCCTGTTGTGCTAATGGGGAGAGGAATGCTGTATTTGACATGCTGCAAAGTCACTGCCAGCCTCCTGTTGCTGCTGTCTTCCCTCAAAGAGTGATTTGCACTGAGGTTTCATTGGAGTGTGGCCATATATGCTGGACAAAAACAACGGGGTCCTCAGTCTGGTTGAGTAAAAAGGGTTCTTTGCCATCCATACAAACCATTCTTTTAACTTGCTTTGCTGTTATTTTCTGGTGCTTTCTCTTTCTGTGTTGACAGTCACATTTCATTCACTGCCATCTTAAATATTTCTATTACGAGTCTCTGCAGCACAGCTACAGGCCAAGTGATCTCTGTGGGGCACCTCTAATACTTTTACCCTAAATGATGCCACATTTTTTTGTCTTTCATGTTTTACAGCAATTTATGCATTTCTCTTTTAGACTGCTTCAGATGTATAATGAGCTACAGAAACGTTATGTGAAAGAAGCCAAAACAAACAAGGAGCAAAGCGAAGCAATTAAATATCTCACTGTAAGTAGAATTTGTTGGAGCTGGTATCTATCAGCCAAACATAAGCTTTTAGGGAGACTGAAAAGAAATTCTGAAATTTGTGAAAGGAGACCATGCTTTTCTTTTTATACTTAGTTTCTCATGACAGGGATAATGGAGGGTAGCCTGTAGTTTCCTTTAAAAGTGAACTCCGTCACTGGTGTGTGTCTGTAGCAGAAAGCTGTCTTCCCTTCCCTTGCTTTTCTCTTTACTCATCCGCCTACCCCTCCTTCCAATTGTATATGCACCTTGTGACCTCTTTTTCACCAGCCCTGGTATTTTTCTGCATGTGTCATGAGCTGATTTTTCTCAGAAATTCAGCAGAAGGCAAACCAGATGAAGACAAAGTATGTTCTTTTGGATAGCAAGGTCCGTGGCCCTGCTATGCAAAGAGTCTGGCATCATAACTGGAGCCAAGGTAGGGTTGTGTGGTCAGGAGCAGTTCTAGAAGCTTCAGGAGGGTATTGCCTCTTCAGGCATGGAGTGAGCATTGCAGCTGACCCGTCTAATTTCCTCATCTGTGCTTTGCTTTTTCTCCTTCCAGACCTTTTGGGTGAATGTAGTTTTTAAATCAGCAATTTGAAAAGCTCTAGGTTTGCCTTTGGGTTATGTTTCCAGTTGTATTCAGTTGAACTGCATTTTTTCTATGCATTTAAAAAAGATTTTCTTGACAGATTAAAATTAATGAGCTAGAGCATAGTCTTCAAGAGCAGAGGCAAAAAATTAAGCAACTGGAATGTAAAAAGGTTTCTTGGAAAACTAGTGCTGCTTCTGGAAAACGAAGTCAAACCCCAGAGGAAGGAATAACTTCTCACAGGGACATTTCTGCAGAGAAGGAAGCCTGTTGCAGTAGATATTTAGGTAATGGTACAGTTTATTCTGATGATGTTCCTTCCCATATGCCCAGCAGAGACAATGCATTTTGTTTCTGATCTAGAGGCCCCTCCAGGCTATTTCTCCTTCAACCAGCACTACCTAAAATATTTTTTTCATTTTTGAAGACCTGTCATGTAAAAATGGCATTTTGTAATCTAGGATTCCTCCTTGCATTTGTTTGTGATAAATGTTTGATGTTTTCTCTTTTTCTGAAACTGATCCAGTGTTGTAATCAGAGGTGGGGTTCGTGGCTGTATTTAGTGCTGGTATTTATTCTAGTAAGTTGTATCTGTGCAGATCTCTTAGTAATAATGTTTGCTGCACCAGCCTTTGGTTTTCAGACACTGAGACACAGAATAACCTGGTTTTAGCCTTAAAATGTTGGGCAAGCCTGGACAGAGCTGGTTTCAATATGTTCCTCCTTTCATAAGTAAATCCAGAATTTAAGGTGTGATCCTCTTCCACTTCAAAGCATAGAAAAGAGATGGATGAGATCATATAATGTAGGCATAATTTTAAGGAAATGTGCTATCAGTAAGGGCTGATGTGACCCTCTCATAAGCCAGGAAAAGATAATCAAGGCATATGATGTGTGTTTGTGGATTGTAAAATAATCCCACATCTAAGAATCCAGCAGATCCAGATTATCCAACTGGCTGATCCTGCCATCTTTCATATTACCTGGGAATATGCTGGGCCAGTTTTTAAGAATAAATCACTGTATGAAAAAGGTACTTTAAGAAGCTGAACTATAATTTTCTAGTATCACAAAAGGAGGCAGCTCTTTAGCTGTAATATGATTCATATGAGGGGGAGGTTGACTGTAATGGTTGAACTCTACATTTTTTCATTTGAATATAGAGCTATTGTTGAAGAAGATTAAAAAGCTGAAGAAAGAAAATAGAAAGTTATCTGCAGAAAAGAGAGCACTAAAAAATGAATTAGCTGGATTAGACAAGGTAATTTATTTTAAGACAAGCCTAACAGTAGATTTTTGAAAAGCTAACTTTTCTGCCTGAGCTGAAACTTCTTTAAGCTGAACATATGTTGTTATCAAGTAAAATACATAAAAAACCGCAGTGTATAGCATTTTGAGAGAGATGGAAATTAATGACTCCTTGAAGCATTCATGTCCTAAAGGGCTGCTCAGCTAAGGAAGACTGTTTTCTCTTGAACTTAAACATGTCAAAGTTATGCCTCTGACAGGACTCCAAGTTTAGGGAGGGCAGGGGCTTTGAATTTTTTGTTAGATCTATAGGTGTAAAAAGTGAAAATGTGAACATTTGGTAATTCTTTAAGTTATGTAACAAGATGATGAGATCTTACCTAACTATAGACGACTCAGTTTAATGTACTGACATAAGGTTTTATTTTCAGCAGCAAACTGTTTAAACTGATTTTTGCTTGCTCCTTGTTCCTCAGGTCTTTTTGTTTTGTTGTGGTGTTTTTTTGGATTTTTTTTTTTTTTTTAAGAATCTCTTTTCTTAGCTTGCACTCCTTTCTCCCCAACTAAATAACATTATGGTATTAATTGTAGGGGTAACAGTAAAAGAGGGTGATAGTTCATTGGATGTGTAACTTGCAGAACATTAAGCCAGGGTGAGTTCTAGATCCCTGTCTTTGGGAATCAGGGACAAAGAGTGAGTGAGAGCTTCATCTTGCAGGAGAGATACATAAACCTGAGGTTGTGGCTTTTTATCAGTGATCTCTTTTTAAGGTAGTTTTAAGGTGCTGTGTGTTATACGTATGCAGCTATTCATTTAAAAAGTGCTGGAAGAATAGGGAAGAGAATGTCAAATATAGGTGGTTGTAGGTAGATACATTGTTATTTTGGTAGCTAGAACATTCAAGGATTGGTGAAACAAAGTCTTGGGTGATTATACTCTTCTGTCCATATATTTCCCAACAATTTATGACTTACAAAGGATCAGAATGTCACATTATTCCCTTGTCATATTGCACTGCCATTTTGTAGCTGTCTGGTAAATCCATATTTTTTCCTTTTTACAATGGGTCTTTCCTACTATTAGTCTGTATTCCAGCCTCTAACATAACTTGAACTCTGCTTGTGTGTTCAGGACATAAATTATTAAATTATTACCTAAGGTTGTAGTTGATTGCTGTATCTCACCATAGCTGTGTTCGCATAACTCAGCCATACACTGGTAAAAATATAGAAAGTGTCTTTGAACGTGGGAATTACTTAACTGCTGATTAGCTCTTACTGAGAATGTATTTGAAAAAAAATCTAAAGTGAATATTTTTGGGTTTTTCTAGGATTTTTTTGAAGAGGTAGAAGATCTAAAACATGCTGTACAGGAATCTGTGAAACTGAACAATGAGTATGAAAAATGCTTGAAACAAATAAGTGTAATATATGGACTTCCTTTTACAGCACATTTGTAACTACTGGGTAATTTAATGCCAGATAGAGTTTCTACATATTTGTTATAATTACTGCAACATTTAAACCTCCCATTGCTTAAGTGGTACCGTAGTTTGATAATATAGATTCAGTAATGTGATCTCAATATGACAAGTACTTGGAAATGTTGTATTTTGTGACCTTGATTTTTTTTTTTTTTATATATATATTTAAATAAACTGTGATCTTCATAATTTCAACCAAGTTTCAAAGCCATGTCTTTCACACTTGCAGAATATATTCTGGTTGTGGATGTTTATGGGAATAAAATAAAATAGTTTTATCTTGCAGAATTTCCCAATTTATCCTTTCTGTAAGCTACATAAAATCAAAGGATCAGTGTAGATTGGTCAGTGTGCATGAATTTCAGTCCTAAGGATGTGCTAATGCAAACAGAAATTAATTCTATCATTAAATTATTGCAGAGGGGTTTCTTAAAAGAAAAATGCTAAATCACTGCTTGGAATTTTTCGTCAATCCAAATAATAAGTGAAAAATTGTGGATGAAGGAAAGATTTATTGTTCAGAATTGGAAAGTGTATTCAGAGCATTTTGCATCATCAAAAGAAGAATTCCTCAGAAGCTCTTTCTTGATTCAAGAGTGAGGTACTCGAAGAACTCTGGTATTTGAAGAGCTGAAAAGGAAAGTGGGAGTGGAGAAAGTCACAGTCCCCAAGGCAGAAATGTTGTGTTGCTTCAGGGAGGGTGAGGAGGAATGAAAAGAGACAACTCCCAGTTACATGTGTAGCTTGCAGAACCTTGGGAGATTTGTAATGGCATTCCATGAAACATGTTTTTAATGACATTCCATGGAAGTTTAACATAGTTACATTACAGAACTGTATTTTTTCTGAAAGGTGTAGATCTCTACCTTTGTGACATTCTGGTGGTAGAGTTGAGTGAAAACTGCTTAGGGTAGAAAGACTTAGCTTGCTTATAAACTAATACATCTTCTTTAGCTTCATAAAAATGCATGGACACTCCTGAGGGATAGGACTAGGTGTAGGATTAAGACTCTCGTGTCCCACTTGGTTTGTTAGGACAGTTTTATGCAGTTGTAATTTAATAAAGAAATTTCCTTCAAAGCGTATGTGGTGTTCAAAGTTGCATATTCACTAAGTGATAGGGTAGAACTTGTGCCTGCTCTGGCTGTAGACCACTGTGTTCCCTTGTTTCTTTCTTGGCTCTGTGTAAATTAAAGCTGGATCATGTTCTGAACAAGAGATGGGGAAGGAAAACAGAAGAGCAGCAGTGCAAATCTGTGTTGCCAGTAAACCTAATGGAAGAAAATAAGGAGGATAGCATGTATAACAGAAAATTATAAGTGCAAAATTGTTTATAATATTTGCTAATGAGTAAGATAAACATGAATGCTGGAGAAGGAAGCAGTGCTAGTTACTGGAGTCTTTTCCCCCGCAGTGTTGTGCTGTAAAGTTACACTTTCAGCATATTTAAACTTCGGTCCCGTTGTTAAATGATTCAGTAATTATCCTGGTCCACAGGCTGATTTTTAAATGCCGTGCAAAACAAGAAACTGAGGAATCCTTCAGTCTTTTCCCACAGCTAAGGTCTCCCAGCTCTGGTGAGGAAATCTGCTGTAACGGGAATCCGGAGCCGTGTGAGGGTGCGGCGGCGACGCGCGGAGCCGCACAGCAGCGGGTGAGCCCCGCGGAGCTCGGCGGGGACGGGACGGGCGCGGAGCAGCGGCCCGGGGCTGGCAGGCGGCAGAGCGAGGGGCAGGGGTTCCTCTCAGCCAGTAGTAGGAGCTGTCTTTCGGCTCGATCTGCATCGCTGACTTTCTATGAGGTTGTTGTTTTTTTTTTTTTTTTTTCTTTTTTCATTTCCCTTTCCGCTTTTCCTTTCACTATCAGGAGCGCTGGCGGTGTAGGGTGCAGATGGGGCACCTCCGGCAAGTTCCACATCTGCGGCACAAGCCCCCAAACTTTAACAATTAGCGACAGAAGCGCCGGAGGAGGAATGCATGTGGAAGTGACCAGCTCTGTGGCATTGATTATGTCTGTTGCTGCTTGAGACTTTTGAAAATGGCAGTTTTGCTTTGAAGATATTTTTGTATTCTACTGACTGCAGGTTTGGTTTGTTGGTGTGGATTATTTTTTTTTTTTTTTTAACTTGACGGTATCAGTTTGCTCTTGAAGCTGTGATTTTAATTAATTAATTAATTAATTTATTTTCTGGACATGGCTAATGCAAATTAAATAACTTACTGGCATTTTCTTGTTCAAATTAATTCTGTTTTTATTGGAAGAGGAGACTGTCTCAGACTACCAAAGTCTGCTTCCAAATATGCACTATTTCTTGCTTTGCAGGATAAAGCCATATAAATATGTGGATAATAATATTCTTTGGATAAGAGTTTGCCTTTTTATCCTTGTTGCTGTGCCAGTTAGAAGATACCTCTGCTTTGATCTTTCCTCCTTGTGAGATGTACAAGAAAGGTGATCTTATTTTGTTTGCTAGTTAAAGTGCAGGCAAGATGAGTATTAAATAGGTTAATCAGTCTATGTCTGTAGTTCCACATACTGTGGAATTGTGACATTTGGCCAGTGGCTTTTTCCTGCTAAACCAAGTTAAGGTAGAATTGAATTCCAGGTAATTAAGTATTAGTCATGCTGTTGTTTGATAATGCTTATTAGAAATATTTCATGGTGCAGGCTAATGGTGCTTTGTCTCAAATAAGTACTTTGTAGTGCTGATAAGGGAAGCCTGTGTTTGAAAATAAGTGGCTATTATCAAATAGAGGTTTTGGTTGGAAAAATAATATAATGATCATGTGTCAGTATTCACTTTCCATGAGACATAAATCAAATTAACTAGTTCATAGGACAGTGAAAGAATTAGATTTTGTTCTGTGTTGTGCATGTAACTGAGGCCGAGATTTTAGAAATAATTCACTCATTTTGTGTGGATTTGTAATTTTGTCCCAGTTTTCCTGATATGTAGAGTATAAATTTTCAAAGGTACCAAATATTCACAGATGTAGTCAGATTTAGCTAATTCAGACTTGGTCTGCTAATCACTTAATACTGTGTTCAGTAATTGCTCACATCTTGGATATTAGTCCTAAATTAGGATTTTTTTCTATTGTAGAAAGCAAAATTGCAATCCCGTTGTTGGGTGGGGGACCACATTTTGTGTATTTCTCTGGAAGTTCTTCCTGAGCCTGTGAAACAGCACCTCTATAGGTGCCCTGGAGTCTCTTTTACTGTGACCATGCTACACTGTTTACCTTTAAAGGGCAGGGCTTTCAGACCTGCAGTGCTCTTCAGACTGAAATCCTGAGACCTGGAAGCTGAGGGATTTCATTGGAGAGTAAGGGCTGGTGCCTCTGTTCTCTCAGCTGGGATACTTTCTTGTGGGCACTTACCCTGAAAAAGTGTTCTTGCTAAGGGCTGTGGAAGAAACAGAAAAAAACACTCGAGTTTCAAAAGGGTAAATTCTCTGTTTAGGTTACAAGGTATCCAAGGCAACAAAGCAGAAAATACAGTTATCTCACCAATTTGGGCTCATTAACTGTTTCTCTACAGCTCCAGTGAAGTTTCTTTTTTCTGAGACTTAGATGTTTCTTGTTTTCCTCTTGTCAGAAATGAAGAAGCATTATTACTCACCTGTGTGTCTGTGCCCGTGTTCCTGGAAACGTCCTGTAAACTTGTTCTGGGATAGTAAATTGCCCTTGGTTCTTGGGGATTACAATGAACCATATTAAAGGTGATAATGCTATTGATCTGGTGTAGTCACGTTCTGCACTTGTGCCAGAGTTGTTTAGCCCGGAGAAAAGGAGGCTGAAATTAGCCTGTACTACTTGAAATTAGGCTGTAGCCGGGGGGTTGTTGGTCTGTTCTCTCAAATAAGTGATGGGACAAGAGGAAGTGGCCACAAGTTTGCCAGTGGAGGTTTAGACTGGATACTAGGAAAAATTTCTTCATTGGAAGGGTAGTTCTGTATTGGACCAGGCTGCCCAGGGAAGTGGAGGAGTCACAATTCCTGCAGATATCTAAAAGATGTATGGATGTGGCACCTAGGGACATGGTTTAGTGGCGGACTTGGCAGTGCTGGGCTAAGGCTTGGACTCAGTCTTGAAGTTCTTTTCCAACCTCAGTGGCTCTATATAGATCCTAATGGATTTCTTTTCTTTGTTGCAGCTGCTGTTCAAGCTGAGCTCTGTCTTTACCCACATTTGACCCTCACTCATAGTGTTTTCACTGTGACATTCTTAAAAAAGCATCATGCACCAAGATCCTGGCTGGCTGTAATCTGCTTTCCTTGGTGCTGGTGGGAGTGAGTGCAGCTCTGTGCTCAGCTGACCATCTGCGTGCCTGGAGGAGAACTTGGTTCTTTAGGTCACTTACATATTCCCAAGCCTTTCAGGGTGACTAGAAGCTAACACTGTAGGCCTTGCATGGTAGCTTTCCGCAGAGAATGCTGATTCAATTAATATTTTATTTTGTATTTTCTCCACAGGAATTTTGTGCTGACAAAAAGCCCAAGGTGATCCTTTGAGTAGCCCAAGCTGTTTTCATCTGAGAGAGGAAAACTTGAGCCATTGTCTTATGCTGGTACTGCAATGCTGAGTTCTAGCTCAACTGCTGTGAAAAATCTCCCTCTGAAGAGGAGGCTCTGTTTTCTGCTGAAACTTTTGTGCTTTGTCAGCTCAGTGCTAATATTTTGTGAATTTTTAATTTACTATGTGGTAATACTTCAATGCCGATGGCCAAATGTGAAAGGCGGAGCTCACATGACTGAAAAAGAGACTTCAGCTTCAGTCCTAAAGGCTATAATTTTAGCTGATACACACCTACTTGGTGAAATCAAAGGACATTGGCTGGATAAGCTAAGAAGGTAACTATTATTTTTTTTCAATAATCTCTAGCCAGTTTTAGAGTTTTTGGTAGTAGCTAAAGGGATAATAATTCACTGTTCTATAAACCAGCAATTCATTAGAACTGTAATGAAAAAATAAATAAGCTGGTATTACTTCTGGCATGTCTTGGTCCTGATTGTATCACAGTACCCACCAGGTAAGATGCACCTATTGTCCTTACACCTGATTTCTAAGTATTTAATTTAGATTTCATAATATATTTTCATATTTCAGTGTGTAGGAGCCAGTTTCCCATTCCTGTTGCCAGGCTGTGTCTCTGTATTCAGAGCTGAGTATCCAGAGGTAAGGCTGTGATAACTGGTTCTGGATTTACCTTTCAGGGAATGGCAAATGGAGAGATCTTTCCAAACTGCCTTATGGTTACTGCAGCCAGATATTGTTTTTATTCTGGGAGATGTTTTTGATGAAGGAAAATGGAGCTCACCTCAGGTAGGACATCATCAGCTGTCTTGTTTCAATAAATGAGGATTTCTTGAAGGAAATGGAAGCAGATTAGGTATGCAAGGCTTTGTTTAATAGTGCTACAGTTGCCCTGTTGGTAGAAGTTTCTAGTTTTTCAGATAGGAGTTGAAATATTGTGATTCTCCCTCATTTTTGCAAGTACCTTGACAGTTTTGTGCCTCCTATAAAACGTTAAAAATGTAAATATCTGATTTTGTTCTTCTGTGTTATATGCTTGTGATGGGCTGACCCTGGCTGGATGCCCAGTGCCCAACAAAGCTGCCTTGGCTGGAGAGGGGAGAGAAAATACAAATAGACCTGCCTCCTTTACTGACCTTGGTGTCTGCAGGGCTCTTCCTCTCACAAATTCTCACTCCTCTCTCTGACTGCAGTTGCAGAGTTCCCTTTTTTGCCACCTTCCTAAACCTGTTATCCCAGAGGCACTATCAGCCTTGGCCAGCAGTGGGTCCATCTTGGAGCTGACTGGCATCGGCTCTGTAGGACACAGGGAAGGCTCCCACAGAACCCACCCCTGCAGCCCCTCAAGTACCAAAACCTTGCCTTACAAACCCACTACAAAACCTCTGATGCACTAATTTCTTCTGGCTTTTTCCTGCAGGCCTGGGCAGATGATGTCAGGAGGTTCTGGAAAATGTTCAGGCATTCAGCTTTTACAGAGCTGGTGGTCATCGCTGGGAATCATGACATCGGATTTCATTACGAGTGAGTCTTGTCAGTGACAGGAGTACTCAAGTGCCAAGAATGAAATGTCAGCATGCCCACAGTAACTGGTGCTGGGTCTGAGGGACCTGCTTTGTGGTTATGTGGAAACTTTTTGATCATGATCAAATTAGAACGGGTTGTAATTTAGAGTAAGGCCTGTGCACAAAACAGGTTTATGCTTCTCTGGCCATATGAGGGTTGTTCAGAGCTGATCCTTCTGCACTGGCATGGAATCCTTGAAGCTGCTTTTCTTTGCATTGGGTCTCCTTCTTAGAAAGGCACCTGAGCGTATTTCCACTCCTGTTAGCACAGGAGAATGTAAGTGCTCTCACTCTGCGGGTACTTGTACTGATGGGAGGGGCTGGAGGACACAAGAGGTGTCAGACCATCCCTGTGAGTTTCCTGAATGATTGTGTGAGCTGGATAATGGAGCAGTAAGCTGCATGAATGGTCAGCAAATTGTAAGCAACTGTGTCAGCTGAGTTCTGATGGCAGTTTCTTACCTTAGTTGTATTTTTGCTCTGTGACACAGAATGACTACTTACAAAGTAAATAGATTTGAAAAGGTTTTCAACTTTACTTCAGGAAAGCTGATAACTCGGAAAGGAATAAAGTGAGTATATTTATTTTTTTCTAATGAAATAGTATGGGAATGCTTCACTTAAGGCCTTTTTTTTTTTAATAATCTACCTTATGATGTATTAAAGCCCAAACACTTTGTACAAATCTGTAGTTTGATATGGACAGAAAGCTGTACTTAGAGCTATGTAAAGTGTTACAATTTCCTTTTAAATGGAAAAGTACTGTAGAGTCAGAATCCATTTCTCTGGTCTGACTTTATACTTCCTTGCAGCTGGTAATGAGCCATGGCTGTAAACATAGCAGGATAAAAAACCATGAACCAACCCCCTCTGTGTTTACAAATTAGGAGTTTCATTAATTTTAATAACTTCTTTAGTCTGCAGAATTTAACCCTTGTTTGAGGAATTCGGAAACACAGCAGTTGTGTGTCTGCAGTTTTTCCACAAGGTGGAGTAATAATACTCGAGCTGGTTTTGGCTTAGAGCAGACCTCGGCGCAGTTTGTTCTCACAGCTGTGTCCCCGTGCCTGCACGTGGTGGCTGCTGTGTGCTCTGCTACCTCCAGACACCTGCAGGAACCCCAAGAGGGAACGCAATACTGGGTTTGTGGAAAGGTGTTGAAGTCTCAGATTCAACATGGGAAGGGAATGAAGTCTCAGATTCAACATGGGATTCAATGGGAAGGGAAAGCCCATTGCCACTCCGTGTTTGGCACGTGTGCCCTTGGGTTGTACTCACTTGTGGAAATGTGAGATTCAAAACCTACAGGTTTACACCGGTTCCCTTAATTAAACAAACATATAAATGTTTAATTAAAAATTCTAAACAGGTGTGGAAATGATTGTGTCTATTTTAGGAAGACGTCTGATGCTGGGTCCTCAAGATATGTATTTCAACTGTTAAAAAAGTAATTACTAAGGAACATTTCCATGTCTCCTTTGATAAAACAGCACAGCAGAATTCTTTTATGCAGTTGCAGATTGCATGTCTGGTATCCATTAACTGCAGTGACCTGTGCTATTAACACTCTTAAAAGAAATACTCCTAAATAAACTGTTTTACAACAAATCTGTGGTATAAAAGCAGCTGAATGCTAAAAGAGAATTAATTTTTGTTTTACTATTGACAAGTATCTCTTAAGTGAAGGCATTCGGATTCTTTTTGTCTATTAAACAGACTGAATTAAACTGGGGATGTATCTCAAGCTGACTGTGTGACTAAATGGGTATGAATCTTGTGGCAGAACTTAAGTTGATTTGAAATGTACAGGGAAACCTTCTATTAAGAATAAAATCTTGTTTTGTGTGGTAGAGACTGCAAAGGACAAAATGGAGCTTGTTCAGGGCAGTCACTCAAATGCAGTGCTGTTCTGCTTTCCAGTTGTTCTGAAGAAATTTAGTGTCTCCAATTCTGTCTCTGAGATCTAAACTGTGTGGGGAGAGAAGGAAGTTCTTTCCCTCAGAATTTAGTTTAGTGATGAACTTCTAACATTCCACTAGAATACAACTTAAGTGTCTATTAAAATATAAAAAAAAATCTTTAGTGTAAGCATGAAGCATAAGGTACATTGTGCAACCTAATTAACAACTGTATAAAGGAGCCAACCAGGCAGAGACATGGCTGTGGTACAGATACTCAGAGGAGGATTTGTAACACATGATTTCAGGAGCTGTTACATTCTGCTGCTTTGTTGAGCTGTGTCCAACTTGGGAACACTTGCAGTTTATCAAATTAAGTTTATCCCACACTTGTACCTGAACAACAAATGCCTTCCTGTCCTCCCCACTTCTTTTTGCCCACCCCCTGGTATTTTCCAGCTTTGTCCTAGTGAACAGTGTAGCCATGGAGGGTGATGGCTGTGCTGTCTGCCGTACCTCAGAGGCAAAACTTGTGGCACTTTCTCACAAACTGAATTGCTCCCAGCAGGTAAGAGATTATTAAAATCAGATTACAGCCACCGACTCCTCTGCCACAATGGGAATGCTGATACTGTAGCATAGCCAGGATACAACCAGACTCTCCCGAAAAAAATCTGCTCCAATTCATAGTGCAACTTGTTAGCAAGTCTTTCTCTAGCTCATATCCCTCTTAACCATGTTTACTTAACTATTAACAGTGTTGCTTAGCACTAATGGTGTCAGCTTCCTTGTCAGTGCTGCCAACCGAGTGTCATTTCCTGTTTGGAGCAATGGTAGAAGTTCTGTAACCCTTCCTTTGACTTCAGATACATAATCCTGCAGTTTATTCTGTTTTATAGCCTTCAAGCATGTTCTTTTAGTTTCCTGATTCTGCTACAATCCTTTCCTCGTACCCTAGTAGTGTTTTAATTGTATTTTAAAATCATACCAAAATACTTCTTGTATTTCCTTCCTCTTCCCTTTTTCATAGGCTGACTGGATGCACAGTAGGCAGCATGACTGACTGGGCTGGCATTTAATCAGGAAACCAGCTCCCAGTGCAAAAATTGCCAGACTATCTCCCTTGGGCTGCCCTCAAACTCCTTTGTCTTGTTGGTGCAGAGGTCCTGCTGCTGCTGCTGCTTTCTGCAGTTGATGAAGCTCAAAACTACACACTCAAGCAGCATAGAATCTGAAAAATACAAAAGCTAAAACTTAAGGCCTCAGAGTCAGAAAGAGCACAGCTGTATTTACAGCATGTACAGAATGGGGAGTTTCACCAGTCCACAGTAAAACTCCTGGGAGTTCATACAGTGGGTAGTATTACCTGAGCTAAACTGCCTAACAAAAAACCAAATTCAAAAACAACCCCACCTTTCCTAACCACCTAAAACCTAGATTTTGCTTAATTACCTTCATCCCTTCTATATGGCTTGATTTTGTTCACAGAAACCAAGTCATTCCAACAAAAGATGCAGTGATGTGGAAAAGCTTCCAGTTTCAGAACCCATCCTTTTACAGGTGTGTTAGAGGTGGGGTGAGGCAACATATCGAAATGTTGTTTTTGTGGATTTATTACTGTTCCAGAAAGGCTGGATCATTAACAACTAATCCTTGCTTTTAATTACTCCCAGCATTACCCTCTATATCGGAAAAGTGATGCTGAATGCACTGGAGAAGATTCTGCTCCTCCAGAGGAGAAAAACATCCCCTTTAAAGAAAAGTATGATGTACTGTCTCAAGAGGCATCACAAAAGGTTTGATTTCTTGGGAACTTGAGTGGCAGGGGGTGGGTGAGAGAGGGACATGACTGTAGATATAAATGGATTAAAAAATTGTGGTAAGGCTGTTGGCTGAGACAAACAGAGCACAGCTGCTCCTGTCTAATGAGGCCTGGGAGAGGATGCTTGTTAGAGCTGCTCCCCTGAGGATCCTCACCATCATGGTCTTGGTCCTGCCAGGTTTTCCAGGTACAGCTCCTAAGTCTTGGCACTCTTAAATCTGCTGTGCTGCCATTGCCTCCACTTCAGCATTCTGTACTTTCTGTACTGTGTAAATTACTGATACACCTGGTATGAAGCCACAGTTTCCCAACACATTGAAAGCATAATTTCTGCTGAATTAGTAACTACAAGAAAATTTAAAGTATTCCCCAAAAACCTAATGGTCATTGTTTCTTTCCTTCTGCATACATGTCTTCACTCAAAGATTGTCATTACAAATTTTCCTTAGACAAGAAAATAGCATTGCTTTACTAAACTCAAAGTTTTTCTCTTTGTGATATCCACAGCCCACAACATGCTGTTGCCTTTGTTCTTTTGAGCTGTTTGAACAGAAAAAAAGCCCAGTATTTGGGATCAGGGCTAAATGGGTGTGACTGATATTGCAATACCAACAGATTTCTTACTGCAAAACAGAAGTTAATAGAAAAAACTTTGTAAGAATATGAGAATTGCCATAATGTTCACAGGAAAAAAAGGGGGTTTTAAGTTCAATTTCTTTTTAGCTGTGACTTAATTTTTGTGCTTTGCTATTTTGTGTTCTAGCTGCTATGGTGGTTTCAGCCCCGTTTGATTCTCAGTGGGCACACTCATAGTGCTTGTGAAGTGCTGCACGCAGGGAAAATTCCAGAAATCAGTGTCCCGTCATTCAGTTGGAGGAATAGAAACAACCCTAGTTTCATCATGGTAAGTTTTAATTTTTTTTTTTTATTTTTGTCAGATAACTTTCATAGATAAATCAACATGGCAGTCAGCTATATTTTAAAACTGATTCTACCTGTAAAAACGAAAAATAATAAAAAAAAAAAAAAAACTGCCTACCCACCCAACCCACTCAGTACACTGCATCCACTTTATAAAGTACATCTGTGGGAGCCACATGTTCTGTGTGGTACAAAGCAATGCTGCTAAAGACCTAATTCGTATCTGGGTACATTTTCTTAGAAAGAGGGTGCACTGTAAACTATTGACTTGTAAAAATAATCAGTATTGTGCACTGAACAGTAGAAAGACCAGTTTGGCTTGGCTGATTTACCAACTATGAAAACAAGACTGTATCCACCTCAAACCCTTTTGCATGGTGATCATGGTTTTCAAACATGTACATTAATGCAGTGAAAGTGTGACGTGCCCACAGTCTGCCTCCTCATTGCCAGTTCACATTTTATACAGTGTGTTGGTTATACTTGTGCAGGCAGTTCCAGTGCTCAGTATATCCTTAGAGGTAAATCAATTAGTTCCCCAGTTCAAAAATAAACCAGAACTCTTAGAAACTTGGAGTAAGAAGCAAAACCTACAATCTGTTTACAGAATAGTCTGTGACTTGGAGGGGGAAATCTTTTATGTATGTTTTACTGCTGTTGAGTTTAGGCTGCTTAATACACAGATAACCCCATATGTTTAAATTAATTTTATGCAACTGTAAATATTTGTTGTTGAAAGTAGTTCTGTTTGTTTCATAGTCCTGAGAGTAGCTGCCTTCAAACTGCACACACACAAGATGCCAGACAGCGCATCTTCACTGCAAAACAAGAGGTTGGCTAATTAAAGTGGCATCCTCTTCACTACTGTTTAACTCCTCAGCATTTATCTGCTGTAAACTTTAATTTAAACTGCAAAGTCAAACCAAAACCCAACAAAATTCTTTGTTGCTGAAGTTCCTGTTCCTAATTTGGATTAGCCAACGTGTGTTTTTGCAGCATGTACTGGGTAAGGAGGAAGGCTTGGCGGGAAGGAAGGGGCTCATTCACAAAACCTAACTTTAGCCTGGAAAGGCTCCTTTCAGGTGGATTTGCAGCAGCTAAAGTTAGGCTTCTCTTGAAGGCAAGTCAGATGAGGAGCCCAGCTCTTTGTTTATTCGAGATGGGAAGATTGGCCTCTGGGCTGTTGGCCTGGTGAATATTCCAGTTAGTGCCCAGCACCACAAGGTATGGACTCTTCAGCCCCCTGGAGAAGGCACTGGTACTAGGAAACTGGCCCCAACCCTTATCACCCAACACAGGGATTTAGAAATTGGAGATCTGACAGCTGTGGTGTTCACTCCAGATTCAGAACTCACTGTAACACAGCAAGGTGACAGTCTTAATTTCTTTTCCAGGGCAGCATAACAACAACTGAATTCTCCCTCCAAAAATGCTTCCTTCCATTTGAGAGCAGAGTCTTCACTATCTACTGTGCAGCAGGTGCTCTGCTTGTGATCCTGGTACTAGCTCATGTTCAGCTTCTCACTCCACCATTTTATTTTGCTCAGCGTTTAATCAGTAAGCATAAAGCAGTATGAAGAGCCAGACATCTGCATTCAGTCACTGAAATACCAAAGCTGAGAACAGTCAAACATCAGACTATATTCATGCCAGCAAATGACCTAATTTGATTGCTAGTCTGAAGGCAGGTTGCATTTACACATACCATAGAAGTCCTATACAGCTGATATGACTACTACAGGATAAATAATTAACTGAAATGAACGTTTCATGCTGTACAAAAATACTGTATTCGACAATCAAATGAGTCCTTTTCCTGCTATAATTTTTGTATCAAATATGTATATTAAAAGTGTAACTGTACATTATGTAAATCCTATAGCCTCATCACTTGTCTGCACTTGTGTCTTACCCTGGTGGAGGCTGAATCTTGCAAACTGGAAATGTTTCTCTTATTGCTGCATGGCCCTTCACATGTCATACTTGTGTTTGTTAGGGTCAGGCAGAATCTGGATGCATCAGCACTGAGAGATGTGGATTTCTGTGACCTTTTAGAGTGTGTAAAGGACTGTCATGTGTAAGGGACTGTGGTCTGGGACAAGAAGTCTTCTGGTTCCTGATACAGTAAATTGTTAGCTGACTATAATTTGCAGTTATCCATCTACCAGACAACACAGGGAAGAAGCTCGAGGACCCAGTTTGCTGATACACACTTGAAAACTGCTTAAAAAAAATTAGGGTGACACCTCAAGCTGCTGCTTTCAAAAAGATATGCTATGATGAGCTTAAAAAATGAGGGCCCTATTGCATCCCAGAGATCTGTGTGGTGAGGGGCCCTCCAGTTGCCAATCTCCTGCAAGAAGGAAGGTCAAATACAGCTGCAGTAACATTATCCTATGCCTCAGCCCTCAGTCTACAGCCAGGGATAGGAATGCACCTTATTTTACATTCCACAAGTTCTGTTGACTTCTGTGTAGTGTCACATTTTGAACTGCACTGCTCCTCTTTGGGGAGGCAGAGGCCACCAGCTGTGCCACAAAGATAAAATCTGAGCTTAGCATATCCAGTGTGTGGGGGAAGGTGGGACAAACCTTCTGCTGCTCCCCACCCACCCCAGAAAAAACAGAGGGACTACGTCACACCAGGACCAGTTTTCCTGCTGATGTTGCTGCAGAGGCTGGGAGCTCTAACCTGAGCTCCTGGGCTGGGGCTAGTTAAAAAAAAAAGAAAAAGTACTATCTTTTTTTATTCAGTTACTTTCTTTGGCATGAGAAGTAAGAGAATTCTTTTTACTGTTAGCTTATTCCAACCAGCCTTTCACTTTTTGGGAAATATAACTAAATTGAACGTAGAGATTTCTGGGAAGAGAAAATGGTCTGCTATGCTTTCTAAAATGAGGTTGTTTTATATTCAGCTGGAAACAAGTTCTCAATTGGACTGCAATCTGATTTTAAAAAGATGACTGACTGGAGTTTATAAATAATAACAATACAGTAAAAAGTTAATAAAACCTGCTGATTTATATGCCAGTGTGGGGACTGTGTTAGCTCTTCATCTCTCCCTAAATTTAAAATGAAGTGGGGGGAATGGTCCAAAGTGTGGTAAAACATTCTATAAAGTAATGTAGTCTAACACTTCTCTAGGTTTCTGTTATTGCAACTGTAATTTTAGACATTTGTACAGGTTATCTTGGACACAGGAAAAGTATATAGTCACAGACATAAAACACCTATGTATAAAATATAAAGCAGTGTTATAGTTACTAAAAAGGACATGCCTTATTGCTACAGCAATTCTTGCTTTTTATATATTGTACTGTACCACAACTTGTTTTGAGAATGTCATTTGCATAAATTATTCAAGTTTGAGAAATATTCACACATTTTGATTCTACAATATTTAAAATAAAATAATTTTCTAATGTGTCTCTTTATTAAAAGAGAAATAAAAATGTCATCTTGTAATTCTCTTAGGCCAGACACAAGGGTTTTTACACCTTTTTTTTTTCTTATCTTCTTTCTTGCTATTTACTTGCACAATGAAAGCCGCTGTTGGTACAAAGATTGAAGAGCTCTATATAATGGTGCTTTACACATTCACAATCGGTCTGTGCAATTGTGAAGTTCTATGAATGACCAAAGAATTACCAAACATATTTTCTAAATATAAAGGACAAAAGAAAAAAGAAAAAAAAAAAAGGAAAAGAAAAAAGAAAAATAAAATAAATCTTCGTTTCCCATTAAAACAACACCAGGTTGCAATTTGGACACTTGAATGAATTCCAATGTTTTAAAGCTGAGACTTCAAAAGAGAAAGGCATGTTTGCTGCAACATCCGGTGACTGTAATACCTTACTTGGAAAGGTAAGTGGTTAATTTGCATAATTTATAATTTTTATACTAAAGAGCATTTTTATATAAACCAGAAAAAAACCCCTAAACTCTACAGATAAAGTTCTTACCTCCAGTCACTGCTGCAGGTAAGGTTGACATCAAGCTGTACAGCGCAATCAAAAACATACTTACATCTTAGCTCATTTTACAGGTACAGCCATAATCAAGGCACAAAGATCTTCTACAAGTATTTTTCTTCAATAAAGTTGTACAAAATAATATTACATTTTACAGTCTGTACAATATAATAAACCAGCAGTAAAACAAAAAAATATATATAGGGAGAGGACTATTGTCCAAGAATGATCGGAACTAAAAGGATCATTTGTGGACAGCACAAATAACGTAAGTGAGGGTGGTAAATTTTCTGCCTAGATGCAACAGGCTGAAAAGTAGCTGTAATTCAAATGCCTGAGGTGTGCAGAGACACTTAGCTCCAAAACCCCAGAAAAATTGCTTTGTCTTCACTGTTCCTCTCATTATCTACTCTACTTCCTGTGCCAGTATCGGCTTAAAAGAGGAGGTCACTTTATCAGTTGACCTGCAACTCAGAAATGCTAAAAACTGTGACAGAGTAATAAATATTGTGGTGCTGCTACATTGTGTGTCTACTTCCTCAACAGTATTTAATAACCTGATACAAAGTGCATTAATCTTCTTTTCACCCATCAAGTACTCTTCAATGTCATGTTAAAAAGGAAACCCACACAGAGGGATAGTATGACTTCAGTGTCATCCAGATGACATACCGGTCTGAACTGAGGTTAACCCACTGGAAAAAATTTAGCAGGTCACTTTCAGTTTTAAAAAAACAAAAACCTAAGGGAACAGAGGTAGCCAAAGGGCTTAGTGGAATGACGAAGAAGTGGCATGTCAAAATAAAGCACAAAAATAGTCCCAAAAAGCATGAAGGGAAAATAACCCAAACTTGCTTCAAATCAGCTTTAAGGTTAAACAATTAAAAGTAAACAAAGTGAAGAGACTGACATTTCTATAGTATATTCTTCCACCCTGTGTGGGGTAGTATCAAGAGAAAGAGTAAGAAGCAAAGAATTTAAAACCACAGGTTCCACGGTGATCCCCCTCACAAGAGTTCGTACTGGCGGAGGTGCATCCTCTGAATGATGTCTCGACAGTCGTTGAACACTCTGCGGATGTTTTCTGTGTCCACTGCACATGTGAAGTGTGGGTAGCAGTAATGCCGGCCGTCTCCACTTGCTGTACTTATCCTCTGTGGAACAGGGAGGCAAAAATAAAAAGGATCAGGTGCCATACCGTGAGAAGTTTCACATCTCAGCAGTCTACAGATTTGCAGGGAACCAAGAACCCTGGGAAATCAGTATATAGATCACTAAAAAAAGTAAACAAAAAGAAGGGAGGGCTGTGGTCTAGTTAGTCTGGATGACAAATTTGAAATGAAGATTACAAAACATTATGGATACTGGGGTCAGCACAAGAGTCCTTTGTGGGAGCCATGGATGCCATCCTTAGCTGCACAGGCTGTCGCCATTTGTGCATCACTGTGCAAGCCAAATCTGTGCTGCTGACAGCTGTGCAGCCTGCCATGCAGCTGCCCCAGGAATTGTTTTCTTTTTTTGGTGCCATCATGTGGCAAATTCTTGAACTCTTTTTTTAAATCTGCAGCACAAAACCGAAACACTCTCAGCTGTAGAACCAGCAGTGGCAGAGAACAGCATTCTACTGCTTCTGCTTCTTGAAGTGTGTGGGCCACTCAAGTTACCTTCACTTAGAGCACCTATTAAGCCAGCTGAAGGCTTGGTATCATCACTGCACCCAAAATTTGGTGGAATTATAACCAGAGTGGCTGGGTTCACTTAGAGTAATAAAGCATGCACAAACCCAGTAAACATCAGACCAAGTGGAATTACATTTTCTCAAGGCTACTGCACAACTTTTTAGGTTCTAACTTAAATCTCTAGGATCACTTTGCCCATGGTTATCTTATCAAAATTCCCCAAGAGCTTAAAACACATACTAAAAAAAAAATCCTAATTTTTGTTCTGTATTAGTGTAGGACTGACAAATATAAATCCATTCTAGATGATGATCTTGCAGAATATAAATGAAATGTCATGAAAGCAGAAGGTCAGCTTTTTAGGATAATGATTTTTATAACTATTTTCTATCATAATTACTGTTATACATAGCTAAACAACAAAAGATAGTGTTCTATCTCACTTAGGCTACACCATGTATTGTTAACACAGGATTTATTTTACATGTAGGTTTGACCTTTTAAATACCTGAAGCTACAGATATGCAAAACTATAGGCATTTAGAAGCCATGATTTATGTAATTAGATCAAAAAGAAATTGCAGATTTTTTTGGAAGTAATTTAGGTAATATTACACGTTCAACACTGATTACACATGGGTGTTCATACACAGTCTAAAAATTATATTCTTAGCATGCTAGTTTCAATACCTAGTTTGAGGCTTACTCTCATGAAAAATACTAAGAACTGTCTGCTTGTGTTTATCATGCACTGATTTCACTCATGTCTATAGCAATAAGCTGCCCAAAGTGTCCTGGTTACATACACAGTATGCCAAAGGATGTACTTCCAAAATATTAGGTGTCTGTCTGTTTTTGTCACCTGATAGTTCTTGTCCTCTCATTTAAAGATAAATGCAGAATTGTCACCGCTACTTGACACTCACTTTGAATAGTAGCATGTTACTCAGCACCAGTTCACAGAGGAAAAGATATCCCCTGGGACACTGATGAAAGAACATTTGCTTTCCAGGCAGGAACATTACATACTGGCATCCCCACACTGCAGGGGTCAGGATGACATGCAAATTTAAGGAATCCTGGTCTGTGTGTTTGAACAGCAGCTCCTTCACCTCCCGGATTCGGGTTTTGTAAAATCCAGGACAGGAACCAGAGGGGCCATGCCACTATTCTAACGGGGGTGTATTCACACTGGGAATATATTCAAACAAAATAACAG